GAAGTATTAAGGGATTAATATTGAACTGTAAATAAGCAGTAGAAAAGGAACCGGCAGAAATTAAAATTTCCTATTGGCTAGGTACTTCCTTACAGTCAGTATAATTTTTAACAATTTCAAAAGAAACTTAAGAGATTGGACAAAAGTACAAGGGGTAGGTTAATGTTTAGATTGAATGAGGTGTGATGGTGGAAGATGAAGAGTACTCATGATAGTTTTTTTTTTCCTCTCTTTCTTCACTTGGCCAACCATGTTAAGGGGTTTTAAGTAAAAATTTTAGTTAGTTGAGTGTACTAGAAGACTTCATGATGAGAAGAATCAAATCAACTATTTAACAAAAAAGCTTACTTCACTTTACTCTTAAAACACCAAACCGGCCATACCTCTCTTGTTTCCTCTAAAAAAAAAAATTCACAAACACAAAGCACTAGTCTAGGATCTCAAGAAGAATGAATGGACCAAGGTGTCCTAGAAGGTGTCTAGCTAAGAATTTCTTCAAGGGTAAGACTCTAATCCTTATCTTTCTTGTTTCTAACAAAATTTAAGATTTAGAAATGCTATTCTCAAATTTTTCTACTATTCTAATTCTAAGTCATTAGCAAAACTTAGAGGAAGAAGAAGGTGATCAAAGTGTTTTAGGAGGAGCCTAACCAAGAATCTTCTTCAAGGGTAAAAACTCTAAACCCTTCCTCTATTTTTCTACCAAAGTTAAGTTGTGAATCATGGATGTAATTTGTGGTTCTTGAGGAAATAAGTAGTAATAAGGGCATGTGACTTTTATGTTAGTTTTGTGTGTTTTGAAGCTAGTTTGATTAGGATTATGTGGTATGTTTATATTTGGTTTAAGTTTGCTTATTTTGGGTTGGAGAAAAAATTTCCTGGTTAATTTGAACGCGAAAATGAGGAGCCTAGAGCGAGATTTTTCAGTGTTTCAAAGTTCAAACTTATGGTTCTTAATGTTTTAAACGTTTTTCTGTGACTGTGACAAAATCCAATTTTAACTCTAAATGCATGTTTTAAGCCATTTTTTTAAAAACAGTACAGGCTGTCAAAAACAGTTTCGGAAAAAAAACTGGCAGCCACTATTTTCAGCCAAACTAGGCCTTTAGAGGCTGAATTTCAGCTTTCTTAAAAAACGATAATTTTAGATCTCGACGAGACGAAAAATTGTCATGAAGAACAGATTTTCAAAATCGAATCTAAGATGCAGTAAAACACAAATTTTAGAAACTGTACAGTTTTAACTAAACAAAACTAACACAGTATAGGTTTTTAACAAAAGGTTATCAAAGAACCCGATATGTGATTTCAGTAAAATACTATGGTGTTAGACCTCATTTTAACGGAAATATTTGTGAAGAAAGTTTTTAAGAAAAATTGTTTCTTTTAAAAACTTAATAATTTTTCGAGCAAAACATCCCAGCGGGCACTTACGAGCCCAATATGTTAGGTCCTTAGAATTACGAAGATTAGATTTGGGTCCAACGCCCGCATTAATTCAAGAGACCCCGTTTGAGTTAAAATTTCAGTGGCCTAAGAGTTAGAACACCATGAATAAGTTTCTTGGCCGAATTGGGCTTTCATATCATAATAAGTCCAATGAGGTAAATTATAGAGAATAAGTTATTAGATTGGGTAATTGATTTTCAATATAGGCAAGTGGATGTTAAGAGCAATTAAGGAAAATAAGATTTTGAGGATTTAATAAATTGATCCTTATAGTAAATTATCCTTCAGTAAAGGAGAGGAATACATGCCTTAAGGAAAGGGTTAGATTTTCCTTCATAAGCTGCCAAAATAGAATAGCAAACGAAAGTTAATCTCACACTCTCAATGGATGTTCATTTTCAGAAGTAAGCAAGTAAGAGAATAGGTTGTTTGGCGAAAAGTGAATTCTAGCTCTGTAAATCAGGTAAGTAGGAATCTCGCCTACAATATGAATATATTTTAAAGGAAAAAGTTACACATGTTATGTACGCATGTTTATGCTTTATGCGATGACATGCCATAATACATACACCTTAATAAGTCAAGTGGAACTTATAAGAATAAACTCAGTTAAGTGCCGTACCAGTCTCTGAGAGGGAGGTAACTCAGACTCCGCAAGGAGATAGAAAAGAAAAAAAAAAGAAGAAGTATATAGTAAGTTAAATCATGGTGTTGTTGAGGACCTTGCAAACCCCTACGTCCCAATGGTTGCGCGCACATGGTATGAGCACTCGGGCCCATAAGTAACTAAGATAAGATCAAACAATAAGAATTTCGTTGAGGACCTTGCAAACCCCTACGTCCCAATGGTTGCGCGCACATGGTACGAGCACTCGGGCCCATAAGTAACTAAGATAAGATCAAACAATAAGAATTTAATAAGACATGATCATAATTAAGCATAATTAGCTCATGCATATTTATTCATGTGAATTTACAGTTATTTTGTGAGAAATAGTTCCTACTTGCTGAGCAAAAGCTCATCATAGAATATTTATACTGTACGTAAGCAACCTGCACATAATACTTAATGGACTGATGGCGAGTAGACGAACGATGTGGAGATCAGGGAATGGATACCGCTCACAAATATTTTCGCAATCAGTTTTACGTTATAAATAGTTTGGCTAATTATGATTCTAAAACTATATGTTAAATAGTTTTGTGGATTATGGCTGTAAATAAGCAAGACTTAAGAATTGGGTATATACATATAGATATATCTATATGCCTTGAGAAACATATATGTTAAGGTTTGAATATTTTAATTAAGAAAGCAATTCATAACTTATGTCTACTATAAGACTTTATAAAAAATATTCCGTAAATTTTAAGAAATTCTAGCAAGTACAAATTAATTTTAGCTACAATGACGGCCATTGAGGAGGGTCATCACATGGCCGAAAGGTTCCCTCTTCACCAGCCGACCGATGAAGAATAACTTCTCTGTCACCGGTCGATCGGTGTAAACGTTATTTGAACCTGTTTTGCCTAAAATGCTATTTTAACCCTGATTTTCTAAGAGAACCCAAATTAGCTTCATTTGGAGACCTAAAGTAGATGGATTAGCATCTTTAATCCATATTTTGAGATCAAAATCCTTGGAATGATGATTTGAAACATAAAATGATTTATGAAACTTAGAATTGGATTAAGGCACACTAATAGGAAATCGAAGTGTATAATTGAGATTGATTTACTTTAGGAATGAGAAATGAATCCTAAAATGTTATTTTGTATCAATGATAGTTGAAGAATTAAATAGAAGGCTTCGAGGAAGCGGAGGCTAGGATAGCGCAACGCTAGCCACATGTTTGGTGTCTAAGAGGTAGGATTTCTTATCATTTTCTTTGATAGCCTATTTTTAGAAAGAGTTTTGGCTTTACAAATGTTTTAAAGAAAGGACATGTTCGCGAAAAAAAATATTTTAATACAATAACTTGATTTTAGCTATTGGAAATATAATGAACTATTTCAAAATTTTAATGAATGATTTCTTAAGATAAGATATCTTGCGAACTGGTAAGCCTATTGATGGCCTAGATAGGATATGGAGATCGTATCCATGGGGGCATGACCCGAAACCCCGACCGGTAGACTACGGTGGTTATAAAGCTTGTGCCTGTGCTTGTGGTTGTGTAAAAAATTTATCATAGTATAAATTACTTGCTGATGTCTGTAATACGAAATTTTTAGTTTATACTTCATTTCAGGAAAAGGATGTGACGTTCTGGCTGTTGTGTCGGAACTGAATATCTTCATTTACTTACTTATTCATTTATTTATTTATAAAATTTATTTCAAAATACATTCTACTGGGCCTTCCACTCATGTTTTATTTTGTTTCTATAAATATTAAACCTCTCACAGGCGACGCTAGGAGCACTATTGAGTAGCCGAAGTAGTTGCCACCGTCTAACCCAATGAGGATTGTGACAACATCCTTGTGGAACAATGTAAGGATTGTAAATTCTTAGAATGTAAACTTTAAATCTCTAGATTGTGGTTGATGTTTGTAAATGATATTTACATGTTCATGTATATACAATATTTTATATCCTGTGGGTGGAACCCTGAACGATGCCGGAGGCTTAGTTTAAAACTTGTTTTTCAGAAAGTATGAAAGTTCCCATCACTTTCTTGTAATTTAATTTCAGCAAAATGTGGGGCTTGTTTAGAAATTCTCTTAATATTTTACTTTTGGTTTTGATTATTATATTTTCAAATGTTTAATTATTTTCTTAATCATGTTTAATCTCTAAACGAGCCTCCACGTCACTAATCACTGTTTTGGGGCGTGCCAATTTTTTTTGTGTACTACTAAATAATTTTTTGATTAATTCACCCTATTAAGAATTTTTTCGCTTTTAATGTTGCACAATTAATATTCTTTTTACTGTATTTGATCGTTAAAAAAGCAATAATAAAAAACATAATCTATAAAATTTTTAAAAAGAAAAAAAGACATTGATATTGAAAAAAGGAAAAATGTATGCACCGTATTTGGAATTGATTCTATTTTTATTTTTCACGTTTTTTAAAAAAGAAAAAAGAAAATATTTTTAAAACAGTGTTTGGCGCAATAAAGACAAAAAACGGAAATGAAAACGATTTTTTAATTTAGTATAAAATGAGAGAAAAATGAAAAACGACTTTTAGTCGTTTTTTATTTTTTGTTTTCATTTTCTCTTCTCTCGAGCATAGAGAAAAAGAAAGATATTAATAATTTTTTTTACACTAAAAATAATCTCTTAATAAAATTATTAAATATATTTTTAAAAATAATTTTTATCTGAAATTAAAAATATTTTTATTTTTATTTTTATATAAAAAATAAAATTATTTTACAACGAATTGTAGCATTAAAAAAGGGACAAAATTTTCACAAACCGCATCATCTATAAAATTACCCAGTAAACGACACCATATCTGGAAAACGACGAAGCATTAATCCGACCTCTGATTAAGCGTTAGATTTATCATCTAAAGATCATCACATTCCAGAAGCAGGCTTTACTTTACTGTTCTAATGGCGTCCTCACTCTCTCTCAAGCGCCTCATCTCCTCCAACCTCGTCCCCAAATCCCTCTCCGCGCCTATTCTCCATATCTCCGACTCCGCCGCTTCCAGGTCCTTCAGCGCCGATGCCGCCCAACCTCACGGCGGCGCCGACGTCCACTCCGCCCCAGGTACTTTTCATCTAAATCCTAAAAATTATCTGTTTTTTATATAGAAATGGAAAATCGAAACCTAATTGAGTCTTCTGGTAATCTTTACAGTCGTGGTATTGTTCCATGCCAGTGGGCTGACCTGTAACCAATGGCGGAAACTGAAGAACCTCTTGAACCCCGGCAAAACCCTATTTCGTCCGAGCATCAGCGAGCCTGGGACCAAGAAGAAATTCTTCCAACAGCTTAATCACAGCGCGGGTCCCACTTGCGTCCTGTATTTGCCCGAAGGAGCTTCGGAGAAATTGAACTTGTTGCCCTCCGGCTCCGGGGACGCCGTGGACCAAGATTTTCTGTTGTTGTACGGCCAATACAAATCCAATTTGGTGGATCATATTGATGTGGGAAAAGTTTCTGAATTTGATGAAATGGAAACTTCTCTCTTCAATTTTTATCTGCCAAGCTCGTATCTTTGTTCGGTTCTTGACCCGGCTTTCGCAAACAAGGAGGGTGAGCAAATGGCTGGTTCTGAAGGTCCTCAGGCCTCAGCAGAGCAAAGCTGACATGGAGGATGGTGAAGGTATTGCCGTTTGTCTCCTAAGGTTTTATACTTTTGAAAACGAAGGATGATGAGTGTAAGGTTTTTTTTTTTTTTTTTTTTTTTTTTGCCTCTGAGAAAAGGACAACTGAAATAAGAACTCCATAGTAGTAAAGCTCTTTGATTAAAATTTTTTTTTTCAAATGAAAAAACATGTCTTTGATTAGGTTGGAAACATGGAATGGTTTTACGTTTCCTTTTGCTAATTCTAACATAACCAACATAATTCTACAAATCCCAAATTCGTTGTTTGTGCAAATTACTTTCGACTATCTCCATAATTGAAGTGGCATTGCAGCGTTTAAGTTGTGAGTACTACTTTTTGGTATGATGGAGTTAATTATACAACTGTGTCGTTTAATCTCTGATATCTTTACAATTTATTAGAACATCAAATACAGGAAGTTCCATTCAATATGTTGCAAACAATGATTGTTTCTCTGTTCGGTATTAATGTTTCAGAACGCATATGCACATAATCTTCATCATGCTTGAAATAACAGAATTGGCTTAGGCATCTGATCCTGAAATGGGCATTCAAAAGCTTCAGTTCTGGAGTATCTCCATTTTTAACAAGACACATTGCAGAGGCTTATTCTTCTAGTTTTCTGCAGTAGTCTCACATTTGGAGACTTTTTTAATTCTGCCCATATGTTCTAGGCCAAGTTGTCTAAACTCACTTGCTTTGCAAATTAGGGTGATACCAACCACGTGGGAGCCTCCTAGGTGGCCTGTATTTGCAGATCTTCTCAAATTTCGAACTGTGCATACATTGGACTCCTTGGCGAGGATGAAACTAAACGTTCAGTCTGTAGAAAAGTGCGCAATAATGTAGAAAATTGGGTGTGCATAAAAAAAAATCATTACAAAATTGGAGTTTTTTCATCTCTGCACTGTTTGATGGCAAGTGTACCAAAATAGGACTTATGATCGTTGATATATAAGGTACATGGGTGTGTTGGAATGGGTGTTATGAATGTATGACTTTTTAATGTTCATTTCTTTCAACTAGAAACCACAGTCATCGACTGTAGGTAGATAAATTAGCACTCTTCACTGATACAACGGCTCTAAAACTTATGTTCATAGTTTAATAACCTAATTATCTTTTTAAGCATTATCCGAAAACTAAACAAGTTAAAAGTGCTTAGAACAAGAATATGTGTCTGCGTGTGCATATTCTCTGCTTCTGGGAGACTTTGGTGATCAACAACTATTCTTCGTAATCAGGTATAAATGTTTTCCTGCTCTTTGATAACCGAGAGAGCAAGGGAAAAAATTTGGACTAGTTTTGCTTCCAATTCTGTATGAGATTGCATAAACATTTTTATACATTTGTTGTACCTTGTTAATCTAATCGATTTGTATTATAGTTTGATTGAAAATGATGTGGATGGATAAAAGTGAGTGATCTTTGAAGCAAAAATGTTAAGATATAGGTTCTAAAGTGGCATGCTTGAGCTTTCTATTAGCTTCTCGTTAAAACTTGGTGTACGATAGCGGGACAGGTCATATCGCAATTTTGCAGGATCTTTCACGAAAATTCTCCAGTTAAAAAGGTTCTCTCCAGAACACACTCAGTAGATTAAGAGAGAATTATTTTGTAGTTGTTGTGTTACACCCAGACAGATTCATGAACTGTATCAGTACGACTTTGTTCTAGTGTGGAGAGTCCTTATTTACGTACTCAAAAAGTTAATTAAAACTGAAATCAATTATGTGTTACAGCTGCGATGGTTAGGCTTATTGATGGTATTTTCCGAAGAGGGCTGCATGTATGAGAAAGTTATGAGTGTGCGTTTTAAGAAAAGGACAAAAAAAAAAAAAAAGTAATTTTTGCACCGAGTTTAAATTGATCATATTTGATGCATTTTTGTTGTTTTCTCTTCCAGGAACCTAACTTGAGTCGCATTGTTGCATATCAAGAGGAAAAATCAATAAATTTGGTCATTATTTGGTTTCTTATACTCTTTCTTTCTTCGTATTGATAAAAATCTTTCTTTTTTTTTTTTCCTTAGAAAAAAGGGGAAAAAAAATCTCACTTAGAATATTGTTATCTTATCTTTATTAGATTAACCACTTTATTTTAAAAAAAGTTCTTGTAAGGCTTATGTTGCACGCATTAACCGCACTAGACGTGTGCATAGCAACATATGGCATGACCCCATTTAAAAGGTGAAGGACAATGGGAATATCAATAAATAAAACCACATTTGCCCGTAGATTTTCATATATCCCGTTGATTTCAGGAGTGCAATGCATTAGAAAGGACGATAAAAAAAAAAAAAAGAAGGATATGACATAACAGCCAAAATTATGCTTGTTATTCAATCTTATGTGAGTGATACATTAACTTTGTACATACAACTGTCTACGCTTCCTCCATATATCCGTCTTGTCCTAATAACAAGACAAAAAAACAAAGACAGATAGGAGCTAACATTAAAGTCAACTTCCATGTTTTTTGACCTGAACATGTTTTTGAGTCAACGCTTAAAATTGAAATTGACCTGAACAACGTAGCGCATTCTAATCTGTTCGACATTGTAAACAATGTACTCGTTATACAGTAAAGCACCCTGCAAGAAGCCGATAAATCAGAAGAGATTTACAGTGTCCCAAATGAACTATAATTCAACTTCATATTTAAATGATCATAGACAGTAATGCCTAATACCTCATGGTGTGGATTCTCTTTCGGTTTTCCTTCGGGAACTAAAACACCATCATCGAGCGCCCGAGCTTCGGAGAGATCAGGAGCAGTTCGTCCAACTCCCTTCGTGCTGCCATAGTAGGTTTTTCATCATATTACTTCAAGAGTAATCATTATCACTGCAGACTACTCATCTTGGCATTTTTAAGTTCCGAATATACTGTTCTTTTAGTTCTCAAGAGAGGAGATCAAAACTAGCATATATCAAGCAAAAGCACAAAAGGTTTGCAATCTAGAATGTGTCCATGCAGAGTTTCAACAGTACAGAGAATTAAGAGACGGATTTTGAAATAAAATTGTTATTTTTTTTTTTTTTAAAAGGTAAACTAAGCATGAGTCGGGTATGTGTCCAATCAGCATAAATAAAACAAACCTTAGCTTTCCCTTTGGTAGCTTATCAGCATCATACTTTGCAGTTAGAAGTTCAGCCATGTCACCAAGTGCAACCTAAGGCAATTCACAACCCAAAAACCATGAGAAAGGTCACAAAACTTTATGAAAGGGAGGGAGAAAAAGGGGGTTGGTGGGTGGGTAGGTGAGGAAAGAAGACTTCTAAGCATGGACGATTTGGCCGCATTTAACATATAATAAAGCCGTAAATCATCGGAATTAAGACTGTTGTCAAGTAAATATATATTTTTATAGTACTGACATAGTGACATCAATATATATACTAATCTCAAATTGTTCAATCTTAAAAAGAAGATCTTAACTATCACAATCTTAAGATACTAGGAACATAAAAGGTCTAAAACTATTAAATCGGTGAAATGACGAGGCCTAAAACTATCAGTATAGAATTCGGATGAATGAAGAGGCAACCTCACACAAAAGAAGCACGCCAGTTGTAGCATTGTGGGAAGCGTAGCAATAATTTGCACTTTTGGAGAACATGTCAGCAAAGTAAACCCCTTTCCCAAACATGTAACCAGTTACAGGTGCTTCGGGTGGAGCAATGCGCAAACCTACGGTATCAAAATACAGGTTGCACTAAGTTATTTTTTCAACATTCCATCCACAAAGTTGAAGCACAAATTGTAGGAGAAAAAAAAAAAAAACTTTTGCACTGGGAAGCTATTAAGAGTAGAAGAAAAATGGATAAGCAGAAAACCTTGGGATAAGATTCCAGTCCAATTCGTGAGCCGTGAACCATGCCACAACAGCATTCTATTTTTGGCACTTGAGAACTGCTTTCAAGAGATAATAAATAATAAATGAATTAAACTATACCAACTTACATTTCTGAAGATTAGACGTCCAAGTAGTTTTTAGTCATGCAATTTCACCTTTCTGAAACGGTCTTCTTCACCCTCCTTTGATAGTCTGAATAACTGGGCAATATCCACAGTATAATTTGAATGTGTTTTTCCATGAGTGTTCTGCATATATTTTGCCACCTGACCAGAGATGGAAAATGAAATAAATAATAAAATTTCGCCCAAGACCTCTTGGTCTAGTGGCACTGGGGGGTTTGGGTGGGGGTTGCGAGTTCAATCCTGTCTTGTATAAAAAAATAAATAAAATTTCAAACACCCCTAAAACATGTGGGCACCCATATAAGAGGAAAAAATGGTTTCAACATTGTTATGTTTATTTTGTGAATGTACATGTTTTACTATTGGAACTTCTATTGCTCTATAATTTTACGTACCATGGTGAACTCATCGGAATCAACATCAAGCGGTGTCAGCTCACAGCGAAGGCTTTGATAATGAGAGTACAGGGTATCTTCCTACAAGAATGGCAGAAACTTACATCAGTAAACATGAGGACTCAAAATTTCTGTAACGCGTAAAATATATAGAACGAGTCACTCATGACTAAGAGCAAACCACATGTACCTGAAAACCAATGTCATCCTTCAACAATTTCGTTGCCACCTCAATTTCACTTAGTGCTTCAACCTTCAATTAGATAATGGAGTTAAGCACATCTTTTTTCTAAAACAAAAGAAGCCAATTACTTGTCATAATAGCCCTCAAATAGAAGTCAAAGAAGCAGCTCTTTCTCCGCATCCCACTAACCACTTACAAAGAGAGTGAGGAAAAAACTTTACAAAGTACATATCTAGATAGAAAAAAAAGTTTACCATTTCCAATTTGCTTTTCAACTTCTGAGGAGTGTCGATTACATAATCACCTGCCATCAGTCAAATTATATATGAAGCAAATGCCCTTTCTGGAAACCAGAATATAACCATCAGTTGCCAGAGAGAGAACTCACGCATTTTTTTAAATCCAAAATCATGAGGAATGACAGTGTAAAATTCTCTGCAGAAAAACAGAATTTTTATTACACAATTCCAGATTTATCTAAAGAATACGAACTAACTGTGATACTTTAAGTACAAGAGAATGTAAATTCAAGTCATGCATAGCATCAAGCATGTCTCTTTTGCTGCAATAGCATCAGGGCTGCTTATAAGAAGAAAAACTGAGCCAAGCATTGAAGTAAAGAAACAAAGAAAACTACCCGCTTAATTGCTCTAGTGTTCTCCTATCAGATTGGCCAATCACATCAGCAATTCTCTTCAGCACTTCATAGCCCTAGATATGTCAAAAGACAAGACTCCATCAAAAACTTAAAATGTATTGCTTAAAAAAAGGAAAGGACAAATTATTTTGTCCCAAATAAATGTTCTGAGGAAGCACGTAAGAAGAACATATGTGCCTGAAATTCACACAACAAACAATCGACAAGGGAAAGTCCTCCCAACTATATTCTGTTCATCTGTTGAAAATACCAATTACGTCCAAAACATTATGAGAGAGAGAAAGATAAAGGAAAACAGGATAGAAGTTTAAGATCTGAGTCTGTCTTAGAATGAGTAGGTTCAATTACGTATCTTAAGTAACTATAGTTGGTTTGAATCATTTATCAACAAGACAACTACTTAATAATGATTTTCCTCCCAAAAAAATAAAAAATTAAGATAGTAATGTGGTTAGGATACTTCTAAAAAAAGATATAATTTCAGTATGAATCAAAGAACGATCAAACATGAGTTCGACACATACCTTCAAAATTGTTGATTTGCTTAACTTTCCAAGTGGTAATTTATCAGCATTATATCCTAAAAGAAAACGTGAGAAAATGGGAAAAGCAATTACATATGGGTTAAATCTATAAAAGAAAAGGAAAGACATTCAATTGTAGATGAACAAACCTATTTCCATCATTTGCTGCTTCATCATACTGACATTGCAAATGAGAGATATGAACTTTGCAACACGCTGCTCAAGCTTAGTGTTCTGAGGTTTTGCTTGTAAAGCTGAGATAGGCTGTTCTTTGACCTGATAATTTTACAGGCATTAAGAAACAATGGGAAGGATAATGGTCACAGATCAAAATGCACTGCTTGATGAAGGTAAAATTATTTTTTTTTTCCTTTTATATTTTAAGGATAAGTCTTATCCTTCTACCTAAAAGGGCCCTCCTAAATTCATCCAGTAGTAAACTCATAATCAAGAAAACTCACAGTTGAGTCCTCCTTGTTTTCATTGTAGTCCATTTCCAACCAAGTATAGCTCTTAGGGTAGGAAACAAACTCCTTTCTATTAGACCAGTGATTCTTGGTCTTCGCATAAAATTTCTGTTCAAACTCATGGATGGCACTTTCTCGTGATGTGTAAGGGCCTTGTATGTTGTTTTGACCTTTCACGCCAACTCTTCCCCATCTATTATAAACCATGAATCTGCTACCATCATCAGATTCTGCCAGTAGTTTTGAAGAAACGAAAGTAAGATTAAAGTCCAAAAGGCCTAAAGGCTAAAGCATTTTTGTCATCCAAATTAGAACCTGGTACAGTAAATACACAAGTTCGAATTCAAATCATCTTAATCAGAATCAATAAAAAAATTTCCAAAGGGAAAATGACTTAACCAAGAGCTTGAATCACGTAGAACTTGTTATTATTATCGCCAACATTTGTCTGGTTCAACATGGCATCATAGATGTCATTCCCCTACATTAAAGAACATATATATAAATATAAAAGAACCTTAACATGAATAATGTTTAACCAAACACAAATATGAAATGCAATATGCTATGAATTTGCAGACTTACAATATGTAAAACATGGTACTGTGTCTTCATGTCGTCTGGTAGCCATTGGTCCAACACTGCCGAACCCTTCTTGGTAGCAGTAATAATCTTCTCCTCCTTTCTATCATCCCCTTCTTCCTCAGCTGTCACCAACAAATAACAATTAACAACAATTCTTATAGGGTCCAAATCAAAAGGTACAACTTACATCCTTGCATTGAAAACAATAGGAAATAATAATAATAACGACTTGAGCTTTAAGAAAACAGATACCGGACATCTGTACTTTTTTTTTTCCTGATATCCAGAAATTCTCCGAACTCACTTTGTGAACCTGAGACATCATGTGTTAAAATATAAAAACTATTATTGGCTCACTTTCTAAGAGCTTAAGCTTTTAAGATGGATTGGTAAATTAACATAGTATCAGAACAGGAGGTCCTGAATTCAAACCCCTTAAATGCACTCTTTATTCTCATTTAAATTGTCATCACGTGTTACCTATTGTCCAGTCCATATGTGAGGAGGAGAGTTAAAATATAAAAATTATTGTTGAAAGAAATGTTAGGGAGATGTAATTTTTTCTTATAAATATTACTTTCCTGGGAAAATAAATAACACCATATTGGGTGAGTTTAGGATTACCTCAAAATGTGATAATGTGAAACCCATGAATTTCACTTTCTTGGATTTTAAAAAAGTCTAATAATTATACCAAACATGAGAATATGAAAGATTCTCATTCCCACTCTTGAGATTACCTCATACCAAACGCCCCAAGAATTTGGGATAAATTGATAAACTAACATCATGAACCCGAGTTTGAAACTAGTCTATACTAATTTCTTAACCAAAGTTAATTTGACCAGGGCCTATCTAACATCTACTATCTACTAAACGTGAAAATTGATGAAGTTTTTTGGGGGCAAATTTTCTCAGTAAGCAATCAGGTAATCAAGAATTTTCTCGAGAAAAAAAGTAAACTACCTTGAGGAATGCCATTGTCGAAGCCCTTGTCAGAGTCCTGACAAAGCCTCTCCAACAATTCTTTCTTAGACCCAGTTGTGGAAATTCCACGAAGAGAGGCTTGTTCGCGCAGCTGCCTAATACCCATGTTCCGAAACTCCTCCACGGCCTCAATTTTGTCCGACACATTTGACTTAACCAACTCTTCTTCATCTGCCAAATCCCTTTCCCTCTTCTTCCCCACCGAACAGCCATTTCCGTCCGGTACTTGCTCCTTCTCTTTGCGAATAGCAGATTCGAGTCTTCGAACCTACCCAAAAAAAACAAAAACAAAAAACCAAAAATTAGAAGCCGCCAAAAGCACGAAAACCTGCAGAGAAAAAAGAAAAAGAGAAAGACCAGGGTGGGCTTAATTCCGGAGGTGCTAAGACCGCGTTTGAGGAGTTCAGAACGGAGCTCTTCTACCTTAAGCTTGCTTGCCATTGCTAAAACAGTAAAAACTTACTAGAGATTTTGGAGGGAAATTGAAAGAGAGTTTCAAAACTGCAAAATGGAGTGTGGGTTTTCGCAAGTGGGAATTGTGAATTGTATCTGTGGCGATGTATGTGTTATATATTTGTATTTGTAAAGATTTGTAGCGTCTCGACCACTTCTATTTTTTTGCCGCCGGTTTTACGGTTCGTTTGTCCTGAGAAAGCTTCCCGAGCACGAGAGGAAAACCGGTCCAAATCCAATACCGCATATTAATATCATATGTGATATCATATTAATATCACATGGTCTCCACTTTCCACGTCAAACTACAGTTGCAATTTTGGCATTAACTGATTATTATTTTTTAAAGTCCTTTTTACGGTTTCAATCGACACCTCAAGTAAAGTTGCAATAATGATAAGTTCAAGAGAGATTTCAGTGTGCGTTTGTTCGGTGAATTCGTATTATAGTTTGAATTATAATTCGTAGTTTGTTATAATATTTTTTTTTTATAAAAAATACACGTAAATTAATAATGATTCTCAATCATGATTTGATTCTAAATATATGAATTAAACGTCTACTAAATTTTGTGTCATTTTGAGTTACGATAAAATGATGACCTTGTTCAGTTCGTAGATTCAAGTTTTTAATTTAAGTTGAGATGTGATTTTATGTGGGAATTTTTTATTGTAGTAGAAAAAATTAGATGTGATTTTTTATGAGAGCTTTTAACTATAGTAAAACTGAAATTAAAAATCGAATTAGTGAAATGAACGAGACCTTAATTTTTCAAGAGTGAATTTTATTATCCAAGACACAAACTGTCAAAAAAACAAAGAGCCCCTGTATATATGGGTTTAAATCAAGATTTTTTTATTATGACTTTTAAATTTTAAAATTTTTTTTTGAGATAACACTATAACAGAAATAAAATTATAAATTTATACTGTAGCAGAATCCATATATTAAATAGGAGTCTACTAATAACTCAGGATTAAGATTATTTTATGACCATCGATAGACTCGATTAGAATTTCTGTACTTAACAAAAATTATCAGAAATTCATATTGTGTCTGTATTCCGATTTCACACAATCTCATTATGTGTAATACACTCATTTAATATCTCACTGGATTAATAATGCAAATAACATTGTGTCATTCTAAGTGAGAATGACATGTATTAGTAATGTTTTAATTAAAGGTTATGAACTTTAATTAAATTTATTACAAATCATTTTGATTATTATCCTTCAATATTATCCTCTCGCATAGAACATTTATATACAATATTTAAGGACACATAAATAATTATAAAATTTTCAGTGATATTTATAAAATATTTAATAATATATGCACATAAAATAATGAATAAACTCTTTTATTAAATAAATAATAAATATCATATTACATCTCATACTTGTAGGACATCATTCCCAACAAGGGGTAAGGAGAAAAATAGCATAATTGGTAAAGTGATTAGTAAACTATAACATATTTTTTTAAAAAAATAGTAAATTTAAACATAATTTAATATTTTAGGTTTTAAACATTATTGAAAATCTAAAAAACTAGACTGTTCAGTGGATTCATGATGTCACATATGTATGTACAATCCTGTGGATTCTTAACCTAAGTCTCTGATACCACTCTATCACACCCCAGGGCAGGGGTCGGTGATGTGGAGCTCGATTAGTGGTTAAACACATGATAATAAAAGAAATTCCCAACGAGCTCCACACTTAATTAGTGGTCAAACCCTGTGTACACTGGTCGACCGGTGATAGAGCAGTGCAACACCATCGGTTGACCGGTGGTGTGCAATCCGGTCGACCGAATTGGTCGACCGGTGAGGCCAATGCAATCCGATCGATCGGTGAAGAACACCAGTGCGAGAAAACTCACGAAATTAGTTTGAAAACCTACAAATCTAGTCTCAAATCAAAATATCTCAAGGGACAACACCTGAATCCGGGTTCTAGGTACTAAATCAAGTCCAAAAAACCTGAGATCCCCAATTTCTACCATGTTTTAGTCAAAATCCATTTCGAACCAAAAATAAGTTTTAAAATATGAAAATTCAAGAATCAAGAGAGGTTTTTCTGAAACCTTACCTCGAATCCTTCTCTTGGCATTGAAAACTTCTTGAAATTTTCCTTTGGTTCGAATCCGGTTTGATTTGAGACAAAAACGGGAGAGAGAGAGAGAGAGTGAGTGAGAGAACGAGAGAGAGAATGAGATAGTGAAAGAGAGAGAGAGTGCACGGGAAGGAAAGAAAGGAAAGAAAAGGAAAAGGAAGGAAAAAGGAAAAAGGAAAAGAAAAAAAAAATGGACACGTGTCCAATATTTAAAATGATAGTCCAGAAATGTGCCCATACACATTTCTGGATAAAAATATAAATGCTGAGAATATTTAAATACCTTGGAATTACTCAACTTTATACGTCAGAAACATTTATTAATTAATGACTAATTAATTAATTTAGATTAGATACACTAATAAATCTCAATTATCTTAATTAATCTCATTTAATTCTTCAGGGTGTTACAGTAAATAATAAATATTGTATTTACTATTTAACACCATATTTACTAGTAAATATCATATTTACCTGAAAAGCTGACCACCGGCTCTGACGACCGTTTAACATCGTATTTAAAGGTAAATATCGCATTTACCAATAAATATTATATTTACTTATAAATTTCATATTTATCTGAAAATCCGGTCATCAACTTCGATGATTGTTTAAGAGTGTATTTACCAGTAAATATCATATTTACTAGTAAATATCATATTTTTAAAAAAAATTCAAGTATCGATTCCAACGACCGTTTAACACTATATTTACTAGTAAATATCGTATTTACTAGTAAATATCGTATTTACTAGTAAATATCGTATTTACGAGTAAATATCATATTTATCTGAAAATTCAACCATCGACTCTGTGCGACCGTTTAACATTGTATTTACCGGTAAATACCATATTTACCGAAAAATATAGTAAATTTCAAATTGTAACTACTAAAATATTTACATGTAAATAGAGTATTTACCATATTTAAAATTGTAATTATTAAAATATTTATAGACATTACAATATCTATCAATGTAAACTTGTAATTACTAAAATATTTATTGATAAATATAATATTTATCATATTTAAAATTAAAATTACTAAAATATTTACAGGTAAATATGCAAAACCAAATTTCAAAAATTATCGAATCTCAATCACAAACACATATCACAAAATCAGATTCAAAACGATAAGTCTCAAAGTCGCCGTCCATGACCTCACCGACGCTCTGACTCGACCAGATTCGGCAGCCACTCCAAAAATATTTTCGGTGTTTATCTACACTTATCCGTCGAGATATGTGGCTGGATCTAGTTCTGGATGGCTAGATCGGGAGAGGAGCGCTGAGATGACGCGAAGGTCACGCTGAGATCGCGCCAACATCACGTTGTGGTTGCGTCGAGATTTTCGCTGAAGTCGCACCGATTTGTGACGTAGGTGAGAAAGATTGCGACAACAATGGTGATGATAGTGGTGAACCAGATCGACGGTGATAGAGATGGCGATGGCAACCTCAGAGCTTCGACGGCGATGGCGAAAAATCTCTAAACTTCGACGACGATGGCGGCGGGAATCGGGAGAGAGAGGTTGGAGAGCGGAGAGATTGGAGAGCGTAGTTGTAATAGAGAGATCGTCGGCGTGTGTGAGATTGGCCGTCGATGCCAAAGGAGCTCGCTGGAGAAGTTCAAGGAAGTTTGGCCGGCGTGTGTGAGTGGGAGTTGAGAGAGAGAGTCGAGAGAGAAGGTGTGTGAGAGAGAACAAGAGAGAATGTCTAGCGACTAAGGGTGTGTGTAAAGAAGAAAGAGATGAAACCTTAAAAAAAGATAAAGTTAGAAAATCAACATTTTATTTTAAATCAAAATTTAAGATATGCTATAATTGATCGACATTTAAAAAATATGTTATTTATTTCAAACGTAGGTAATTACTTCCTGTGCTAACATAATCGATAAGTCCAAAGTGTTTAAGCGGGCTGGGCTTCAGGCCGATATGTTCGGCCTCAAATCTGCTGCTCTAAGTAATTAAACGTAAATTTAGGGGCACTTCTGAAAAGAAAAGAAAAAAAAAACCACAGGCTCGTCGTAGAAGGGAAAAGCCTTGCAGTCGGCGAAGCGCATTTGGTGGCGGAAGAGACGTCGTGGAAGACCACCCAGGCTTGAAGCGACTCCTTCGGCTCTGTTTGATTAGCTAAACATCTGTTTTCAGACCCAAATTTCGAACACAGAATCAGAATCAGACCCAAAATCACCGAGAGAATTTGTTTTCCTAAGTAAGTGAGTACCTTCGCGCTTGGTTTTCTGCTTGAGATTGTCGATGTATATGATAGCATCTCTTTTCTCTCTGCGATCTGTGTTGTTTTTCTATTTTTTTCTTCGTTTCTTTTGTTGCCTACTACCTGTCTGATGGAAGTCCTCAGACGCCATCTCTGTAGTTTTGTTGTGTCTAGTTCATGTTGGATTGTCCAGTTTAACATTAACATTGCATGGTATTAACACAAAAAATCAATATTCAAACCAATTTTGTTTTTTTTTTTCCCTGTTGTTGTTGTTTTTTTTTATTAATTTATTTATTTTTTATAGGAAGTGAGTGTGACATACAACTTGAAAATAGATATATATATATATATATCAGGTTTTTGCATAGTAGAAAAGGGGGAAAAGAATGGCTGAGAGACAAGGTCTTGATCAGCAGCATCAAACCGATCCGCCATTGCAGTCCGCAGGAGCTCCTAAGGAAGACATGATTGCTTGTCTCATGGCGTTAGAGGCTTCTTTGCTTCCATGCTTGCCTGCAAAAGAGCTCCAGGCAATCGACCGTTCTCCGCATCCTTCTCACCAGAGTTCGTAACCCTACAATCTTTGCTCACTTCTGAATTTGTATTATTTTTTGTTCTCGAATTATCGAACTTATGGCTGAATCGTTATAACAATATTTGTTTGATTGCGATAAACGTGTGTCAATTGTCTGATTTGATTACCCTATAAATTGGATCCCTGATTCCGTTGAAATTGAGTAATTTTCAAATGTTGTACAAGATTGATAAATCTAAAGTTTGGGATATTTTCCAACTCTTGCTAGAAGATTTTGAGTTGGTATGCCACTGAAGAAGCTAAGAGAATGTGTTTGTATTATCTGAGATTTGTATAATGCAATTAAGGGGGAATGAAATGACAGAACTTGAGCAGTGAATATTATGTAAATATTGAGTCTCAAGTTCAAAATCAACTCAGCCAAATGCACATCCAAACACCAGTTTGAACCAGGCTCATTGGATGAAACCCATGTGAACCTACAAACCAAACGTGCCCAAAAAAGTTTTTGATAAAGTTGTCCAAATGGACGCTTATTTACAGAAGTAGAAAATATATATGTCAAGTCAAAGTTGCTACTGTGAAATTGCCTCCCTTTTTTTTTGGCCTAATGTTGATGGTTGGCTGTTGATGTTCTTTTAAATCTTAGAGAATGTTGAGGCCTAATGAACAACCTGATTATAATCAAACGGGGATTAACCTTTTATATCAGATTATAACTTCTAGTGCTTTCAGTTACCTGCTTTAGAATTGAAGAAAGCATGGATTCTTTAGTTCTATATGATGTGCTGCAATTTTTCAACATAAGATGCCCATGAGTAATTACATTAATTGTGATTTTGCTCATTCTGTGTCGTAGATTATACTATCTTACTCCTTGGGACTTTATTAATTGTGTTTTATACATGTTGTGATTGTGTTTCTTGTGCTATTCTTCAGTTGATGTGGAAAGACATGCCAGAGATTTTATGGAGGCTGCCAAAAAGCTTCAACTGTATTTTATTGGTCTTCAACGTGAGGAGCAACCAAATAAGGCTGAAACACTGAGAAAGGTAATCACCATCATCGTGTTCTCCAACCGATTCATGGATTTGTTTATCGATTTAAGCGATTTGATTATCGTTGTGCTCGTCATCTTTGCAGGAGATTGCTGCCATGGAAGAAGAGTTGAAGCACAAAACTGAGATTATCAATAAACATGAGAAACTGATTCTAGGGTGGAGAAAGGAGTTGAAAGACCAGCTAGACAAACACCAAACGGAATTGGAGAGGGTATAGCTACTTGCCAACGGGCGTGATCTGACATGTTGTATTGTTTAGTGACAGACATCTTAGTGTTGCTTTGAGATGTGAAGCTCTCTCTTTAACTTAATCACGAGTTTTGCAACTTTTTAATGACATGCTTTTACTCTGCGGTCTGTATAACTTGTAAAGAAAATATTTTGTTCAGCATTGCTTGAATCCCAGTATGGCAAACCAACTTGTTAGGCTAGCCAACTTCACTTTATTGGCCGTGATCGTCTGCTGCTTTTGTGCTATGTAAGAGTCCAAAGGATGATCCATACTTTACCTACTCGTAAGGAGGCTTGAGCTGTTCAGACTTCTGGTTAGAGGTCCTGTTTTGGTATTTGCTTTTGGGAGCCGAGTCCAAAAGCTATATCTGGGAGCGTTTGGATAGTTTTTTCAGGATCGCTTCAGCTCTACAAAAGTCGAGCATAAAATGTGGCTTTTCAAAAGAGGGAGGTACTGTTCTCTATTTTTAGTTATCGTTCACCTCGCGGATTTGAATTTTCAATTTAAATTGTGATATGATATTTTTTTTAGAGTTTTTAACTGTAGTAAAAAAAATTAAATGTAACATTTTCTGAATATTTTTAACTATAAAAATTTAAAATTAAAAATTTAAATCAGTAAAATAAACAATGCTTTAAACTATTAGTGGATCACGTAAAAGAGTAGTTTGACTCCGTTTGCATTGGCTCTCGTACCGCTGGTATAATATTTAATCGTATGCAAGCGCTATCGTAGTAAAAGTTATAATGCTAAATTGAAACAACCTAAAGCACACGTGGTCAAACTCAATTCGTTGTACAAAGCCCAAATTTCTTTTCTTTGTTTTTTTTTTTTACGCCTCAGCTTTTTCTTTTTACTTTCAGATTCCAATTAAATTATCGTTAAAGAAGAAAGCTCTCATTTATTCTACAATCAATCATCTCAACCATTTTTCATTCTGTGAACCCAACTCCTAAGCGAACAAAACTTTCTTCAAAGTTTTTTCTTTCTTTCTTTCTTCTTCTTCTTTTTTTTTTTTTTTTTTTTGCTAATCATTCAAAGTCATCTGTTAAAGGAAAGAAACTTAGAATTTCAGAGAAGAATAATGATTTAGAAACTCATAGACAAAAATAGTATATTGCTTAAAAAAAATATTTACAAGGTTCGTTCTGCCCTCGGATGAGAGAGAGCTTATCTATTTATAGCTTAAGCTTACAAACTATTATAAGAGATAAGCTTAACTTACTTTACACATGTCGATTTCTTATTTAAAGCTACTTTATTATAAGATAAGATAAGAATCTTATCTAAACACCGGACACCTAAGCAAGTCATAATTACAAGATAAGATAAGAATCTTATCTAGACACCTAAGCAAGTCATAATTACAAGATAAGAACTATTTTTTTACAAAGTAACTTTTATAAAGTTACTTTTGACTAAGTGTAATGCCAGCTGGAGGATATGATCTCAATGACTGTTCTGGTCAAGAGATAGGTTAAGATTGAATCAATCTGATGAGTCAGAATCTACTGAGGCATATCCATGATAGTACCAGGGTCTCCGTCGTTTGTTGGGTGATGAGTCATACTATAGGTCCTGAGAATCCTGAAATAGTGCTGGGTTAGTCTTCTGGATCTTGTGAGTCCTGGAGTGATGGAGGTGCCGGAATGGAGGTTGATGTATCTTCATATAAGCTACAGTTGCTTACAGTGAAGATGTTGTATGGGCCATAGATCTCGATGGGTGGAGCTATTGCAGAACTGTTGGTGGAGCATGCTTTCGTTTGTATCCATTTTCTCTGCACAAGCATTTAATGAGGTGATCTGTGATCTCTTCAAGTGATATGGGGTAGTTAAAGCCGGTATACTAGGTATACACAATGTTCTGTGTATGTAGTGTCTGAGTTTCTGAGCTGATCAGATATGGCCGATTTTATAAAAAAGATGGTGTGTACTGGTGGGACTTCTGGTGAGGAGAAAGTCCAGACTCTGTATTTCTGGAGAAGTCTTAGGACTTCATTTCTCCACCACATGAGTGGAGAGAACATTTCTAAGAGCTGCCACAGAGTTGATCCTTCATTGCTAGGGTCATTAAGCTGTGTGTAAAGGTTCATGAGTGGACAATTAAGTGCGATCTGGTAGAGAGCTGTTTGGCACCATAGGTACCAAATATCATCTTTTGTGATCTCGCCAAAAGGATGAAGGTTGTAGATGGCTAGGTATGGTTGTTTTGTATTGTACAAGAACTTGGCATGGGGATTCTTAGTTCTGTTACAGACATTGGTTAAATAATAAAAAGGATGGTTTTTGGCGTAGTACTGGATTTGGTTGGGTTTTACAGGTATACACAGTGGTGTATGGATATTGGTAGTCATGAGGATGAGTGTAAAGGTTTTACAGGGAGTGATGACTTGAACTGGTTTTGGTCGAGTTAGGAAATCAATGATGAGGTTGTGAAGGCCTTTTATATGCTTGATAGAAAAGTCATATCTTGCAAACCAATCTTTAAGCCTGAGTAATTGTGGATCATGAAGAGTTTTGTTTTTAAAATCAACGACCTTAGGAAATGATGAATTATTCATACGGACCTCAAAATTATAACCTCTAAGATGGAAGTCAAAATTTTGAATTCCATACTTTACCGCAAGAATCTCCTTGTAGATGGTGTGATAATACTTTCATGATTTTTTGAACTGGCCACTGGCATGTCCACAGTAGTGCTTCTTGCCCTTATATTCTTCGATGAGGATGGCTCCCTAATAATGGTCACTTGTGTCTATTTGCAGGACTATTTTTCCTGTGCTTGGAATCTTCAGAGGTGGAGGTGACTGGGCCACTTTCTTTAATGTTATGACAACGGCTGTCTATTCTGTTCCCCACTAAGGAGGATTCTTCTTCAACAATTTTGACAGCTAGCTAGTATGTTCAGTCACGCGTGGAATGAAATCTATGAGATTATTGACTATTCCTAAGAACTGTTAAATTTGCTTTACAGTGAGGTTCTTATCTAGAAACGTCAATAATTCTCGAGCTATGTGATCTGCATCCCCAAGAATTCAACTTGGGTTTGTCCTATCTGACTTTTCTTTTCTGAGAGCATGATGCCATGTTGATCCACTATCTGATGGAATTGGGCTAGTAAGACTTTATGGGCTTCTGCTTCTTTTGAGAACAGTAGGATGTCATCTATGTAGATTAAGGCACTGTACATAATGGGCTCAAAGATGTAGCTCATTATTCGTTGGAATAGTGACGGGGTCGTCTTGAGTCCAAATGGCAAGACTCGCCATTGGTATTGTGCGTCTGGAATGCAGAAGGCTGTTTTGAGCCTATCTTTTGGATCAATTCCTAGTTGCCAGAATGCTCCTTTGAGGTTAAACTTTGAGAAGATTTGGGCTTCCTTTAGATGAGTGAATATGGAGCTGGTTCTTGAAATAGGGAATTTATCATCTTTCGGGATCAGGTTCAAAAGCTTGTAGTCGATTATTCTGATCTTTTTTCTACATAAAAGGTATGTTAAGCCCAATCTGACTTTGTAGGCTTAATTAATCCTTGTTTGAGAAGTTGTGCACATTCTTCTCGGACTTAGGCTAGATCTGATGGAGTCATTCCTAGATGAGTAATATTGGTTGGGTTGATGTCTTCATTCTTCTTGAAGGGCAACTGTATGAAGAAATATAATAAAACACGATTTCACATTTTTATTATATTCAAAATAATCTCTTAAAAGACAACCAAATGCAATTTCAGAATCGGTCTCAAAATGATTTCCAAAACAATCTCATTTTTCCTTTTGTTCTGAAAACAAAACCATTTTAAAAACATTACTAAACGGGCCCTTTAATTTTTGTATCGGAACCTTAATACGATTATAATACTAATATCTTTGTTGCTTATTAAATAAGTTAAGAATGAGGATTCAAACACTAATTGCATGTTTGATTTGAGGGTTCAAACCACCCCAATTTTAATTCAAACAATGTTTTCTCTCAAAAAAAAATTTATATTTAAAAATTTCTTGTTCTCTCTCAAGATTTGAATACTAGTTTAAACTACCTAATTTGAATCTTCAAACCAAACGAGCTAAAACAAAAACAATGCCAAAGAGTAACTTCTTAGTTTGTACTCTTATTGGGTATCTTGTCTGGGACCCGAATAAGATGAGTAGAAACAATTCGGATACCAACTAACATTATTGTATAACCAATATTGTTGTAGAAAAAGGGGGGAAAAAGTCCCTTATACCACTTCTGACACCTTCAAACTTTATTCTCAGTAGTTGAGAATAATATCTATTTTTGCTCGTGAGAAAAACAGTGATCGAGTAAATCCACACTCCCTCCAGTGCAAATGATAACAAGAGTGATAATAGTGAGAAGAATAATCTTTTGTTTTACTACAAAGCAATCAACTAGTAGATTTCAAGAGACATCTACATAGTTTTAGTTGCTAATTCTCAAAGCAGTAGTTAGCGAAGCCGAACTGACTATTCCGTTGTCTTTTTTTCTGATTCTTTAGTTCTTTTCTAACTAGGGGGACCAAAGCACGGGAATATGATCTCCTAATAACAATGATAAAATAACACCTTAACGCATGATACATGACACTGTAAAGAGAGATGATAACGTTCAAGTTAGGATCGAAGCTCGCGGTTCAAAAAGATATCAAAACAACAGAGATTGCTTTGTCTACTATTTCTTCGCGTAGGTAATTAACATTGAATTCTGTGGTGTTATCTTGAAACCTTGGAGACCCTGCATTGCAACTGTTGACTGCATCTCATCTCCATACTCCACAAAGGCTATACCGGGCTTCGTCTCCACCATTCTAACCTCCTTAAAACCAGGGAATTGGCAGAAGAGCATTTGCAGCATCATGGGATTCGCTTCCTGTGGAAGATTCTGAACAAACAGTATGTTGTTTGGCGGAGCAGGAGCCTCCGGTACGACAGACTTTACACCACCAGGATGAGGTATTTGTGAAAGCTGCGTCATATTGCACGGTGTAATGTAACAATGGTATAAGAACATAAATTTCATCAACTGATGCCTAAGAACTTAACAAACTAGTCTAGAACCAAATAACCGTCAAGACGGACATAATACAATGAGAAATAAGAAAGGAAGTTGATTTTCAAATCAGTTTTATCAATTATTCGAAACAGTGATCCAAAGACAACGGAGAAGATGCTTACAGGTGGTGCTGCACCGTATGCACCAGCATAAGCAGGATTCAGACCCATTGCAGCTTGGTTAGCATCAACTTGGTCTTTTCGCTTCTTTCCTGTCAAATAAGAAAACAAAAAATAGCATGTTAGTAAGATAATAGGCATTTTTAGGCTACTTTTGTATCTTCCAGTATACATAACGAGCAACGTTATAAAATACCATTAACCTATGAAAATCATGCAGTTATTTTAACAAGAGATATTATTACACATATCCAACATACAAACAATACACTGTCAGACTCCAATGTAACACACAATCCCTAATTATTGGGTTCTCAAAAGAGGTATCTATTACCGACTAAAATGCACGCACTCACTGATAGGTTATATGAATAACTGCACTAATAAATCGCTCAACAATGAGGTTCTATGGCAGAGTATGAGCTGCACCAAAACCAAAGGGTACATGAACACAAACACTATACAAGCATATGTTAGATTCTAGGGTTTCTTTCACCAACAAAGAAGAAAAGAAACAGAATTGAATCAAGAATCAAGAATTCTTATTCAACTGTAGGACCATTTGTATACAATTCAGCAGTTCTTCGAGGGACTACAATCCTCCCTCAGCTGGCTAATTGGCCAAGCTAATCCCTTTCTCACTAATTCCGTAATCCCCAATATTCCCCTCTTCCCCTATTTATTTCCCTCCACTTCCCACTTATTCTGTTATAACTAACCCCCCCTTGTATCCAACTGTCTAATTGGTTACATTCTATTAACCTTCTTACACTTACAGCCGTTTTCCTCTCCTAACGAACACCTGTCTTACCAAGGGCTTACAGTCGTTTCCCTCTCCTGTCTTACCAAGGGCCTGGTCCTATCAACTACTCTGCCCCCCAAAAGAGTCACCTTGTCCTCAAGGTGAAAGTCTGGAAACTGTTGCTGAATGACATCAAACAGCTCCCATGAAGCCTCAAAATCGGGCAGATCCTTCCACTTGATCAACACCTCCAGCTGGCCGGTGGATGAAGAAAAACGAGTATCCACGAGGTGCGTTGGTTCGACCCGTAACTCGAAATCCTCAGACAAAAGATACGAAAGCTCTTAGGAAGTAGCAAACACGCCAATCGCTTGCTTCAGCTGCGACACATGAAAAACCGGATGAATCCTGGCAAAATCCGGCAGTTGTAAACGATAGGCCACCGGCCCTACCCGAGCCAAAATCTTATACGGCCCGTAAAACCTAAGAGATAATTTCTCGTTGGTAACCCTGGCAAGCGAGCGGTGTCGGTAAGGCCGCAATTTCAAAAAGACCAAATCTCCCACCTGAAAGTTAACGTCCCTCCGTTTGAGGTCGGCTCTCACCTTCATCCGCTGTTGAGCCTGTAGCAGATGCGTCTTTAGCTCATCCAAAAGAGCGTCCCGGAACTGAAGTTGCTGCTCCAACAGGGAATTGGCTGCGGAACCACTTTCAAACCACAGCAACTTAGGAGGGTCACGTCCGTAAAGGGCTCGGAAGGGTGTCATACCTGCCGAAATATGGTAGCTAGTATTGCACTAGTATTCTGCCCAAGGAAGATGGGAAAACCAATGAGCAGGTTGAGTCGACACGAAACAACGAAGGTACGCCTCGAGACATCGGTTTACCACCTCGGACTGGCCATCCGTCTGAAGGTGATAGGCGGTACTTTGATGTAAAGAGGTGCCCTGCAACTTGAAGAGCTCAGTCCAAAAATGGCTAAGGAAGATTTTGTCCCTATCCGACACAATGGTGCGAGGAAAACCATGGAGGCGGACAACCTCCTTCACGAATAAGGCAGCAACAGATTTGGCGGTAAAAGGGTGGCGCAAACTGAGAAACTGAGCGTACTTACTCAAACGATCCACCACCACCAGTATAGTGTCACGTCCTCCTGATTTGGGCAGGCCCTCCACGAAGTCCATCGTTATGTCATCCCAAACCTGGGCCGGAAGAGGAAGTGGTTGGAGCAACCCGGCCGGCGAGAGTGTGGAAGACTTATGCTGCTGACAAATAAGGCAGGCAACGACAAACGAGATTACATCCTGCCTCATCCCCACCCAAAAAAATTCTGAGGCCAGCCGTTTGTAAGTCATTAAAACCCCGGAGTGGCCCCCCACCTTGCTACCGTGGAACTCCTTCAGTAACACCAGAATGATGGAAGATTTTGGAGGAACCACCACCCGATTCTTATAGAGCAACAGCTCATTCACCAATGTATATCCCTTCACAGCCTGTGGATCCTTCTCTAGCTGAGCCCTGATTTCTGTAAGCTTCAGGTCCAGGAACACCTGTTGGCAGATTGTGTCCCAACCAAAAACTGCCGTGGAACTCAGGCACATGAGTTCTAAATCCACAGGTCTCCGAGACAGGGCATCAGCCACTCGGTTCTCTAACCTGGGTTTATATTGTATTTCAAAATCATACCCCAATAGCGTGAACAACCAATGTTGGTGCTCCTCACTTACCAATCGCTGGTCCAGTAAAAACTTTAGACTTTTTTGGTCAGTCCGCACAATAAAGTGTCTTCCAAGCAAATAGTGACGCCATTTTTGGATTGCGAGAACTACTGCCATCAACTCCCGCTCATACACGGACTTTGCTTGAGCCCTAGCCGACAAAACCTGGCTGAAGTAGGCAATCGGCCGCTGTTGCTGCATCAATACCGCCCCAATCCCAAAACCAGAGGCATCGGATTCCAGCACGAATGGTAGAGAGAAGTCTGGCAAGGCGAGAACCGGCACTGTTGTCATGGCCGTTTTCAAACTTTTGAAAGCTTCCTCTGCCAACGGATTCCACTTGAAACTTTCCTTCTTCAATTGTTGGGTTAACGGCCAGGCCATGTGTCCATAACCAGCCACAAATCTCCTATAATATTCTGTGAGACCCAAGAATCCTCGCAACTCCTTGATAGAACGAGGAGTTGGCCAATCCACCATTGCCGAGATCTTGGTAGGGTCTGCCGACACCCCCTATCCTGAAATAATATGACCGAGATATTCCACCTGGGTTTGAGCAAACGTACACTTCTTCTGGTTGACATATAGCTGCTGCTCCACTAAAGTAGCCAATACCACATCCAAGTGTCTCAAATGCTCCTCGAAAGAGGCGCTGTAAATCAGAATATCGTCAGAAAAGACCAATACAAATTTCCTCAAGAATGGTTTTAATACCTCGTTCATCAAGGATTGAAACGTGGCAGGGGCATTGGTAAGGCCAAATGGCATTACTAAAAATTCATAGTCGCCCTCATGGGTACGAAATGCCGTTTTTGGAACCTCCCCTTCATCCATCCTTATTTGGTGATACCCGGCCTTTAAATCCAACTTAGAAAAAATTGTTGCCCCACCCAATTCGTCCAAAAGCTCCTCAATTACCGGTATGGGAAATTTGTCCGGCACCGTAGCTTTGTTAAGCGCTCGATAATCAAAACAAAAACGCCAACTTCCATCTTTCTTTTTGACTAGGAGCACGGGACTAAAGAAAGGGCTTGTACTTGGTTGGACTATTCTGGCTGCGAGCATCTCTTTAACCAATCTTTCTATCTCGTTCTTTTGGAAATGGGGGTACTTGTATGGTCGAACGCTAATCGGTCCTGCCCCTCCCTGAAGTATGATACGGTGATCGTGCGAACGGCGGGGAGGTAATCCCTCCGGCATATGTAGGACCTTAGAGTGCCGCTGCAACAAGTGTTGCACCGATTCCGGAAGAGGATTTTCAGTGTCGGAGTCAACCCGTAAGGTGCTCAACTCCACTTAGACCCCTTGACCCTCGTGCCTCAAAGTGCGAAACATTGCCTTAAGAGAGACCATGGCTCTGGAAAGGCTCATATCCCCTTTTAAGGTCACACCCTCTCCCCCTATTTTAAATTTCATAACTTGGGACTTCCAATTAACATGCATTCCACCCAATGTTTCCAGCCACTGCATGCCTAAGATCACATCTACTCCCCCTAATTCCAGCGGCAAAAAATTTTCAACAATGGTCAAACTCGGTAGAGTCAAGACCACCCCTCTACAAAGCCCCGTTCCCCGAACCGATTCCCCCGTTCCTACTTGAACACCAAACCCAGTAGTTGGAACAACAGGTATAGCTAACTTTTTCACCGTATCTAATGAAATGAAATTATGTGATGCGCCGGAATCAATCAAAACTATTACCTCACGTTGAGCAAGGACACCACGCAGCTTCATAGTTTTCGGAGTCGACAATCCCACTGCCGAATTCAAGGAAAGTTCGATAACTTCCTGTTGTACGTCCTCTAGGCCCTGCCCCGGATGTTCCTGTTCTATCTCCTCCCAATCAGCTTCATCCTCATCACTCACCAACATGACCCGTAATTCCTTCCTCTTGCACCGATGTCCCATGGTGAACTTCTCATCACAGCGAAAGCACAAGCCTCTCTCTTTTCTCTTGCCATTCAGAATCGGACAATTTCCGGAAGGGAAAATCCTTCTTTGGAGGCACGGTTTTCTCTGTCACCGTTGGAACATGGACAACAGCGCTGGCGCTGGTTTTTGAAGGCAGAGAAGAAAACTCTCCCCGTCCCCGGCTGAGGACCCTATGACCATTTCAACCCTGTCACCTCCTTTCGTAGCAAATCATTTTTCTCCTCTATTCGTTGCGCAATTTCCATAATTTCCCCTAACCCCGAAGGTTTCAACAACCTCAATTCAGCCCGAACTTCAGCTCTGAGTCCATTGATGAATATTCCCTCCAATATCTCCTCTGGTACGTCCCTCAGCGGAGCTGCCGTAATTTCGAACCTCCGGCGATAATCGGCCACCGTTCCATCTTGCCTAATCACTAGAAATTTTTCGCATAAGCTCCCGTCCTGCGACGAACGTAAACGCTGTAGCAAAGCCATCTTAAACTCCGTCCAATTGAAGAAAGGCCTTCTCCCATTCTGCCATTGGAACCAGGACAGGGCTTCACTCTCTAAAGCTATCCCTGCCGTAATCCGTTTCTCCCTTTCTGAGCAACGGTTAATTGCAAAAAATTGCTCCATTCTAAACACCCAACCATCTGGGTCGTCTCCACTAAAGACCGGACATTCAACGTGCCGCCGGCAGTTGGCCACCCATTCCTCATCCTCGATGTCTTCTAACATCTCTGTTTCCCCCTTCCCTGTGCGGAAATCCAGCCCTAGGAAAATCCTGTCGGGGTTCCTCTCTCGTCCCCACTCGCCACGCCTCTCCGCCGTTCCCGCGAGCGCCGTTCCACCCGCCCAATCCTCCGCCATTCCTTCAAAACCCCTCCTCTCCAGTCGCGCCCCACATGTCGCCTCTATACCCATTGGTTTCCCCCCTCTGATTCCTCACCGGTACTTCTCGTTCTCTGTCGTACCTCGGAATCTCCTCCCTCGCGACCTCCCGTCCTAGTTCTCGCAGAACCCTTCGATCCCCTGCACGGTTCGCCCCGTACGTTCCCATTGCGACTTCGGCTCGAAGCTCTTCTGTTACTCCAGAGTTACTCGGCGCTGCTCCGCCGTTCGTCACCGTCGCTATTGTCTTCGCCTTCTCCGGCGCCAGAGCTGTAATTGTCGCATTTTTAATGTATTCCTCCCAGATACGACGAAGATCAGCCAGGCTCTGAATCATCTCGGCCTTAACCTCGCCTACCTCCTTCATCGCTTCCCGCATCTCCTTAATTTCCCTCTCGACAGTGTCGAATCTCTCTTCAATCTTCTTGGCCGCCATTTCCTTCCCAAAATCTTGCTCTGATACCAAAATGTTAGATTCTAGGGTTTCTTTCACCAACAAAGAAGAAAAGAAACAGAATTGAATCAAGAATCAAGAATTCTTATTAAACTGTAGGATCATTTGTATACAATTCAGCAGTTCGTCGAGGGACTACAATCCTCCCCTAGCTGGCTAATTGGCCAAGCTAATCCCTTTCTCACTAATTCCGTAATCCCCAATATTCCCCTCTTCCCCTATTTATTTCCCTCCACTTCCCACTTATTCTATTGTAACTAACCCCCCCTTGTATCCAACTGCCTAATTGGTTACATTCTATTAACCTTCTTACACTTACAGCCGTTTCCCTCTCCTAACGAACACCTGTCTTATCAAGGGCCCGGTCCTATCAGCATATAAGCAGAGAGAAGAGATGGTGAGAATTTCTCACCTTTTTCTTCATGCCTCTTTCGTTTCTCCCGTAGAACAAAAGTACCATCAGCCTTTGCTATTACATCTGATTTTGTTTTGGCAAATTGTATTCTCTGTTGCATATCAATAAAAGAAGACAAATCAATTATCAAAAAAAAAAAAAAAAAAAAAGACAAATCATACGTGGAAATAAAGAAAGAGCAATCATTACCTGAATTCTATATGAGTTGCAAGTTATGTGATGTAGTTGCACTAAGAGTGCATTTGGTTGGACTGGTGGAATAGTAATGGTAATGGTAATGATAATGAGAATGGAATGGAATAGGAATGCATTGAAAATAAAAACTTATTCTTTTATTTGGTTGGAATAATGGAATGACTTCATAATAGAATGAAATTAATTATACTTTGACGAAAATACCCTTAAAACATATAAACTATCGTCTTCAACCAAAGAAGCTATGTACTATCATAGAACAACCCAAGTATGAACCATAGAGAGTGAAAAAAAAATCTGAAAAAACAATTACTTTTATCTAGAAAACCCCAAATCTAAAAATAATTGTTTCCGAGTTCTAAACATTATTCAAAGTTTATCCCAAATGTAAGAAAACCATCAATGAACAACCCCAAATCTTAAAAAAAAATGTACACACACACACAAACACAATATGAACGACACTAGATCTACAACTAAGAATAAATCCATATAGAAATCTGAAAAGCCCAATCAATAGAAGCAACCGGCTTCATGTGTTTTATCTCTTTCCATGTTTTCTTAGTTTTTGAAATTTGACGAATAGTGACAATAGAAACGAAAAATGGACAAAGGCAAGCTTTGATGGTGAGCGTCGATATTGATGGTGGACCACCAGCGGCGCACGTTCCAGGCTTCGATGGTGAACGTGAGCTTTGATGGTCCAGCAAGGCTCGAGAGCTCTATAAGGAAGCAAGCTCTTGCGATCTCTGGCCGCGCTTGAAGTGGATTAGGAGGTGGACGCCAACTCCGATGATGGCCGGCGGCGCTTGATGGTAGCATTAGAGATGGAGTTTCAAGGTCAGCTTTTGGCTGGATCTGAGAGAGATTGAGTTTTGATTTTTGTGGAGTGTTTAGAAGACAAAAAGGACAGTTAGGGAAAAAATAATTCCACCAACTTCAGACTAGCAATTCCACTGCCCCACTGGATGAATGGCTTTTCCACCAAAATAAGTGAATGGCCTTTCCATTGGAAAGGCCTTTCTTAAGTGATTTTGTTAACCAAACAAGAGATTTGAGTTTTAGGAAAGGAATTGTCTTTCCTTTCCATTCCATTACCTCCAACCAAATCAAAGCAGACATACAATCATCAATTAATCCAAAACTGAAATCAACAACCATGCCTCTACAAAAAAGCTAAAAAATTGTAGCATTATCACAACACGGGAAATTTAACATGCCAATTAATAAAGTTTCGTGGACATAATCAGCCATATCACATTTTGGAAAAACGAACAGGAGGAAGCAACATAAGATCCGTCAAAGCTACTGTCTAAACCTGTTGAATGATTGGACCATTTTTTCCATATTGTTCGAAGGTAAAACCTACCTTAGCCCCATCCCAGCTTTAGTGGCAGCACTTAACCATTCTAACTAGGATTAAGTGGCAGCATTTAACCATTTTAACTAGGATTAAACTCATTTTTACTCGCTAGATTGTATAGGCTATAACCAATTTTAGTCCCTTACTTGTAAAGTTACTACAATGAGTCCCGAGTTTATCATATTATCCAAAATTAATCCTTACGTCCTTCTGACTGTTGAATCTGAGCGAAAAAAAAAGGCACGGTTTCCTCCAAGCAGCTAAAACTCCCACTAAACTGCATCTTCTTCACGTGCTCTTCTTTCATCCAGATTTAAATAGTCTGATAGGCGGCAGAAAGACTAATTTGGGATCATTCGATAAACCGGGGACTCATTATGGAACACTTTAAAAGTCATGAGGCAAACTAAAAAGTGCGATTAACCCTTTTAACTGTAATACACAAGACAAGAATAATAACTTATGAAGCTCAATTTAAGTTCGTTTTCGGGCTATAGATGGACCCTAATTCCAAATCTCACAAACGAGCTAACTAAGCCTCTACAACTGAACACATGAACAGCACGAAAACAACAAAACCGCTGTCTCTACAACTAATCACCACAAATATTGAGAGAGAAAGAAAACACAGTTCTCGAAATTCTCATATAACAAAGAAAACAAACAGATTTATTAGAGTACCATAGGCTTGTCGTAGAAGGGGAAGCCCTGCAGTTGGCGAATCGCATTGGAGGCGGAAGAAACGTCCTGGAAGACGACCCAGGCTTGGCCTTTGTGCTTGAGCGTCTTGAACGCCAAAACCTCCAGAATCTTCCCGAACTGTGAGAACACCGCGTGAAGCGACTTCTTCAGCTCTGTTCAATCAAACCGAAAAACTTGATTTCAGACTCCAATTTCAAACGCAGAAACAGAAAGCAATAAAATCACGAAGAGAATTGGTATCCATAAGTGAGTAATACCATTGAGCTTGATTTTCTCGTTGAGATTGTTGATGTAAATTGTAACGTTGGGAGGGATTTCCGTGCCGGTGTTGGTTTCCGCCATCTCTCTCTCTCTCTCTCTCGTGTAATGAAATTGAATTCTCTCTCACTCACTCAGTTTCCCACTGCAATCAAGAGACTTGAAATCCAGTTTGCAGAGTTTATGCGAGACTAATTACGCAATTACAGAGGTGGGTCGATTTGGGGGAGAAGGAGAGAGCCCTAACTTTGATGCAGTTCCAGTCCGATAGGTGAAAGATGGCCCACCATTTCTTATTGGGCTTAGTTTGCGTCCCCTGTTTTATTTGGGCTAAATATTCTAGCTCAAGTTACTTTTGGTTCAGTGTGTGGGAAAAAATCAGAAATATCAATGCGAAAAAAAAAAGTATTACAAAAATTACAATACATGGCAAAACTTCATACGTTGAGTTGAAATTCAACAAAATTTTTAAAATATTCTGAATATAACAAAAATAACATAATTATTATCGATATCGTTATTACATTATACCTATTACTAAAGGAGGTACTCGGTTTACTCTACTAAGTATAGTGCCGGGTCCTTCTTATACTTTTTCTTTGAAGAAATCCCGGTGTGTCCTAATTTTGTGTTTTTACCATTTTAGCCTTGGTTTATTATTTCTGTTTTGTTTTTTGTTTGGTTATTTTTGTAATTTTCTTATTTGGAAAAATTTCGTCTGTGTCCCGAAATTATGTATTTACTGTTTTATGCTTGATTGTTTGTTTTTATTTTGTTTTTGGTTTGGATATTTTCGTAATTTCATTTCAGAATAGCATTTTGCTATTCTTCGAAGCTTCCAGCTTCATTTTTTCTGCACATTTTTTTTGGATTTCTTTCCTTCTCTCTCTCATCCTCTCCGTGAAGTTTTCTTCCTCATTTTTCTCTGCAGATCTTCAGAGTTTTAAGCTCTTTTTATTCTTAATATGCTTTTCGTCTTTGTTTTCTCTCTATTTGTTTCTGTATTTTCGTTTTGGTTTCTTATGTTTTGCATTTGTGCATGCCTCTGGTTATTTATTTCCGTGAAGTTTCTACTTTCATTTCTTCTGTGGAAATATGTTTTGCATTTGTATATGCCTCTGTTATTTATTTTCGTGAAGTTTCTACCTTTATTTCTTCCGTGAAACTTTTTTTTATCTATTTATCTATTTGTTTTTTTCCTCCTTTCTTTTTTCAGATTTGTTAGTGTTTGTATAGATTTAGCTTTTTTTTTCTTCCGTGGAAATATGTTTTGCATTTGTGCATGCCTCTGGTTATTTATTTTCGTGAAGTTTCTACCTTTATTTCTTCCGTGAAATTTTTTTTTCCTATTTGTTTATTCGTTTTTTTCCTCCTTTCTTTTTTCAGATCTGTTAGTGTTTGTATAGATTTAGTTTTTTTTTTACTTCTATTTTTTTCCCAGATCTGTTATTGAGGTTTATGGGATTAGATATCTGCATTTGGTTTTGTAGTTTTGTTTTTCGTTTATATTTTCTTAGATTTGATTTTGTTTTTTGTTTTTTGTTTTTTTTTCTGTTTTTCGTTTTTCCAGATCTCTTAGTGTTTTTTTTTTTTTCATTTTCCCCTTTTTTCATAATTTTTTTTTCATTTTTCCAGATCTGGTAGTGTTTTTATAGATTTGGCTTAGTTTTTGTTTCTATTTTGTATTCGAGTTTTTTCCCAAGTTTTTCCATATATGTTAGTAATGTTTTTGGGATGTTACCGCATTTGGTTATTTTTGTGAAGTTTGTTTCACTTTTTTTCCCTTTTTGTAAGATTTCTGGGATTCTTTTTGTTTGTTTGTTTTGTTTTGTAGTTTTGTTTTCCATTTTAATTTCCTTAGATTTGCCTTAGTTTTTTTTTCGTGTTTTTCATTTTTCCAGATCTGTTAGTTTCTGAAATTTTTTTATGTTATTTTTTTCCATATCTGTTAATGTTTTTATACATTTGGTTTCGTTTTTTATTATAATTTTTTTATTTTTTTTAAGTTTCCAGATTTATTAGTATTTTTTATTTCCAGATGTATTATTTGTTATTGTTATCTCTTAATTGTTTTCTTCTTTTTTAATTAAGTTTTTATTTTTACTAATTATTAACCCTTTTTCCCGCAGGTTATATTAGTCGAGAATATTTAGACATTTATTTTTAGTGCAAGGTAATTCTTTCTAACGAGATACTTTGTTTTGACTGTCTGCAGGTTATTCGTTCTGTTCCACGGTACTTATCATGCAGCATAACACCTGTTTGTAGCAAATTATTACCTTTTATTTGCAGCGTAATAACGGTAGTGTTAAGTTTTGTTTGCAGTATTTACTACCACCATATACTCAACCGTTTATTTTCTTTGTATAAATATATTGTTCTCTCTTTCATGCTTATAGTCATTTGCTTTGCTTATGCTTTCGTTGTCATATACTTATCGTCTATCTTCTCTGTTTTCTTCCTTTTCTTCAATTTTCATTGGAGAGGTTTATTCCCCCGTTCTATTATCTTTGTTTTGAAATGCTTTTAGTTCTTCTGCATCAACAATATCCACGTTCGTTATTCCTCTAAGGTATTTATTTCTTACCTTTTTCACCTCATTTCCATATACTTATCGTTTATCTTTTCTGTCTTCTTCCTTTTCTTCAATTTTCATTACTGAGTTCTTTTTGTTATCTCTGTTTTGAAGTGTTTTTCCTGCTTCTGCATCAACTCTATCTACTTTCGTTATTGTTCTTAGGTACTTATTTCTTATTTCTTCCACTTCATTTCTAATTCTCTATTAAAAATCTGTTGGTCCCTGGTGGTGATGATGTTTTTCCTCTTTATTGTTGCCATATATTGAGTAATTGTTACAAGTGATTTATCAAGTATTGATGTTGCCCGGATTATTGAAGATTTATCCTTATATTATTTCGTTTAGGGTGTTTATGTTTTTTGAAAAATAACAAATCTTTTTACTTCTTACTTGCAAATATTTTATTTTCCTTATTCCACTCTAAACCATTTCATTCTTTAACTGATTTTTTTTGTAAGGTTTTTTTTTTTCACTATTACAACTATTAAAAATTTGTTCCTCTGTTATTTAGTGCAAGTCTTTCAATAATTCAGCTGGTAGCCAATGATAATGTTGAATCATAATTCAGTTACTTTTGATACATGTTGGTAGCAAAAAAAAAAAAAAAAAAAAAACCTGAGAATTGTTGCCATGTATTGAGTAATTGTTAATAGTGATTTACTAATTATTGATATTGCCCGGATTATTGAAGATTTATCCTTATATTATTCGTTTAAGGTGTTTATGTTTTTTTAACAATAATCAATCTTTTGACTTCTTAGTTGCAGGTGTTTTATTTTTTTAACTCTGCTTTGAACCATTTCATCCTTTCACCAAATTTTTTCCTAAGGTTTTTGTTTACTATATTTACTTTGGTGTTTATTATTTGGTAGGAAGTTATAATCATTTAACTATGCTTTAACTTTGGAAGTTTCTTATTTTCTATTTTTTTCCTTTTGTCCATTGTTTTTTATTATTTCGTTTTTTAATATAACTATTTCAATAATTCAGCTGGCAGCCAATTACAATGTTAAATCACATTTCAGTTACTTTTAATACACATTGGTAGCAAAAAAAGATGAATACCTGAACCATTCCTTTTATATATTTTGATGTCTTTGTCTTTTTGTTTCTTACTTGTAGATGTTTTATTTTTCTTATTTCACTTTGAACCTCCCGGGAATTATTACTATATATTGAGTACTTATTAATAGTAATTTAGCAAATGTTAGTTTTGCCCGGATTATTGAAGATTTATCTTTATATTATTTGGTTTAAGGTGTTTATATTTTTTTAACAGTAACCAATCTTCTTGCTTCTTAGTTGCAGGTGTTTTATATTTTTTATTCTATTTTGAAATATTTCATCCTTCAACTAATTTTTTGCCTAAGTTTTTTGTTCACTATATTTACTCTGGTGTTTAGACTTGCTTGGTGTTGTATTATGTGGAGAAAAGGTGGTGAGGTCAAGTCTTTTCTTTTGTTGGAGTTATGTTCTGTTTGTGTTATGTTGTATTGTGTTGTGTGGACCAATTTTACAAACATATAGTAGACATAGATTCCTCCCTTCTCTTCTCTGCTACAAAGATTGTATGTCAACAAAGATCTTCAGTATTCACTCTCCCATTCCATTTGGGAGTTTTTTTTATTTATTTGTAATAATTGTTCAACTCCTGCCGGCTAATTAGTATTAATGTTTTATTATTAAATTAGATTAAAAGTAAACCGTTTATGATAAAAAAAAAATAAGCAGTATATAAATAAAGGCATTTAGGGAACGAAACGTGCATTTAGGTCAACAAAGAACAAACAATAGCATTGATTAAACTTCCAGCTTGAAAAATTAACTAATGGTCACCAGACAAAACATTGTCTACAAGGAAAGTAACATTACATAAAAAACAATGAATTTTCAAGGAAACAGTACTTGATTCTTAGTACACGTATAAGAGTAAACAATATGAAAACTAAATATTACTATATAATTTCACCAAATGCTAGATGACATGGGTACTGAAATATTCTCATTATTGAATGCAAGTTTCAAATCTTATTATCCCAGATCATTACTCGAGTTATTTCTTATGTGAGTTATTAGTTACAATTTTTGTATATAATTTATTTCATTATATTCATTTTTTATCATCGTTAGTTAACAATTGTTAATAGTGTTTTTATTTTTAATGTTATCTTGATTATTTGATATATATAATGTTTACAGTTTCATTTATATGCAGTTTTTATGTAAATAACGTAAACAATGTAAACAATATGATATTTACAGTTTTATTTATATGTAATTTTTATATAAATAACGTAAACAGTATTTACATAATATGTAAATAATATATGTTACATATGTGTTATTTCAATCATAATATAAATGTATTGTAAATAATTTTTTTTTTGTTTTCTGAATTTACATTTTTATTATATAATCCATTTATTACTTACAGATTTGTAATGTATTACATTTATTTGAAACAGATTTGCTGTTTCGTTGTACTTTCTACCGTCGAATACAGATTTGTCTAACATTTGTATACGGTTGATACTCCAGTTGTGCTTAAGTCTCTCAAATAGAAACGTGCGTTTTGTAACGACAGAAATAAGTTTTTAGTGTTTAATTCATACGTTATTAATATTCTAGATTTATTTAAAGTATATTTATTAACATATATAA